GATTTGAATGCTTTTGCGGGTTTTGGTAGTGTTTTCAAACCATTGTAGGACAAGTGCAAAAGCAAGGGAGGTCTTTTAAGCATAAGTGGAGCCAAAATGAAGTGGATTTGAAGAAATCGCAGGTTCGACGCGTCGAGCTTTCCAAAATTTCCAGCAACCAAGTCAAAACCTTGATCGAAGGTTCAACGCATCGAAAAATTCCAGTATGCAACTCTGAGGAAAGCTTTTAAGGATCGATGCGTCGAGATCGCGAATTTCAGAATCCTTAACTGGCGCAGAATTTTCCAAAATTACACCTGTTTGGTTCCCAATATAAAAGGACTACCTTCCATCAACCCTAGGTGTCCAGGCAGTGTTATTGGAGGCAAGAACAGAGCAAAAAGCAAGAGGAACAACATCAAGAACTACGATTTGCTTTGGAGAAGAGAAATCACTAGAAAGATTCGGGAGAATTCTTTTCCTTTTTCTTTTACTTCCATAGTTGATTGTGAATTCTCTGAAATTGTAATGAATGCTATTATAGCCATGAGTGGCTAAAACACCATAGGGATTTTTGGGTGAAAGTGTTTATGAACCTATATGCCTAGAGTTTAATTTCATTAATATATTCACGTTTGGTTTTATTTCTTGTGTTGCAATTGTGATTCATATTGTTGTTGCTAGTAATTAAAGGCCTAAATTACTTGCTTCATAGCCATATTCATGTCATAATGGGAGTTAGGCATAATTTAGGGCACACAGGATTGCACTTAACTGTTGCACCTTGGGAGAGAGCATAATTGTTAGGGAATTTGATTCTTAGTTATTGCACATCGGGAGATGGTGATTGTTAGGAATTTATATTGAATGTCTGTGCTTTCATCGTGGAGTGTTTATATCACGGGAGTGAATATTCACTTATGTTAGAGATTACGGGAGTAACTCTTCCCTCTGTTTGCATTCTCACACTTGTTTAAACCCAAACTAAATATTGCACCCTAGATTGGCACTAGGTGATTAAACACTTGTATCCCAGGAATCCCACTTTTACTCTATTGCTTTCAACAACCTGCTTATTTAGTTTATTTTAATTAGCTACACTTTTACAATTGCCAAATCATCTATTTTGTTAGGATTAGCTTCTCGTGAGTGATTTAGTAGCTAGCTAGTGCTTAATACGCCCCTCTTCCATGTGGATCGATAATCCGATACTCCGGGTATTATTTGTTTGTTAAATTATACTGCAATCAGTGGCAGCGACCGGAATCGCGGTGGTAGATGTCGCGGTGGTGGTGGGAACGGTAATTGGCAGCATAAATGTCAATTATGTTCGGTGATTGGTCATACTGCGGTCATATGTCATCTCTGGTATGCCAAAGATCCTCAGGCTAATATCATCTATCAAAAACCTCCTTCGGATTCTCAGGGGTCTCATACTTGGTTTCCAACCGCGAGTGCAACCAATCATGCTACTCTAGGCATAGCTGCTCTTTCGGTCTAGGAGGAGTACAACGGTAATGACACGATACATGTCGGTGATGGTATGGGCTTACTTATTAGTCGTATTGGTCATGCTACTTTTAATACCCCTTCAAGATCTTTTAAATTATCCAATATCCTTCATGTTCCTAATTCATCTACATCTTTGTTATCCGTCCATAAATTTAAGTCGGATAATAAAGTGTTTCTTGAGTTTCACCCGTCTTTTTTTTATTTTTTTATTTTTTATTTTTTTTTGTTGTGAAGGATATCAACACCAAGGAAACTCTTGTACGAGGCAATAGCTCTGGGGGGACTTTACAAGCTTCCCGTTCCATGTTCGTCTCCTACTGCGTTTCTCTCATCTCGTGCATCCATGTCAGTTTGGCATGATCGTCTAGGTCATCCATACAAACATGTTCTTAGTCAAATTCTTTTGTCTTGTTCGGTTAGTGGGTCAAAAAATAATATTCGTTGTATTTCGAGTCCATGTAATGCATTTCAGCTAGGGAAGTCTGCACATTTTTCCTTAACGCGTGTTGAGTCCTCTAGTTCATGTATTCTTGATTTAGTTTACACAGACACTTGGGGAAAAACTCCCATTCTTTCTAATAATGGATATCATTACTTTGTTATATTTGTTGATGACTACTCTCGTTACACTTGGTATTTCCCTATGACACAAAAATCTGATCTATATGGAAATTTTGACAAGTTTCTTGTTATGGTTGAGCGTTCGTTCAATCGTAAAATTAAATCCATACAGTCTGACATAGGAGCTGAATATAAAAAGTTACATTCCACCTTCACTCAACTAGGCATTATTTATAGACAATCTTGTGCATACAATCATGAACAAAATGGTCGTGTCGAAAGAAAACATAGACATCTTGTTGAAACAGGTTTAGCTCTCATGAGTCGTGCTTTTGTTCCCTCTAAGTATTGGGATTATGCTTTTGAAACTACGGTTTATTTAATTAACAGGATGCCATCTACTATGTTAAATAACTCTAGTCCTAATCTTCTATTGCATAAATTCCCTCCGTCTTATTCCTTTCTTCGTGTCTTTGGTTGTCTATGCTATCCTTACTTGTGTCCCTATAATCGTCACAAAATGTCTTACATGTCTTCCTCTTGTGTCTTTCTTGGTTATCTTGAGTCATTTAGGGGGTATAGGTGCATAGACCTTCAGACTAATAAAATATATGTATGCAGGCATGTTCAGTTTGATGAAGGAGTGTTTCCTTTTAGTAAAAATGTTTTGCAGGCACCACAGGTTCAGACAGTTCAGCCATGGACTGAATCTGTGATTTTTCAAATCCAGCGTTTCCTTTTAGTAAAAATGTTTTGCAGGCACCACAGGTTCAGACAGTTCAGCCATAGACTAAATCTGTGATTTTTCAAATCCAGCCCACCGCTACAGTTCAAATTACTCAGCCTGAACCGACCTGGCTCCTGCTGCCCAGCCGGAACCAATCTAGGACGAACCTGCTGCTCGACAGAAGCTGCTGCTATCGCCTGCCCTCGAGGCCACCCGAGGGGGCTGTCTACGGACGGTTTGGATGCACACCATGGCGATTCGGGGTCTTTCTGAGGCTTCCGTTTTGGCTCTCTCTGCTCAGGTTTGTCCTACTGAACCTACTTGTTATACACAGGCAATCAAACATGATGAGTTGCGCAAGGCAATGGATGATGAGTTTAATATAGTTCTTCATAATGAGACTTGGTATCTTGTCTCATCATAGTCAGATATGAATGTTATCGGGTGTAAACGGGTTTTTCGCACCAAACGGAAAGCTGATATATTGATTGAACGTTACAAAGCAAGTTTAGTAGCGAAAGAGTTTAATCAAGTACCTGGACGGGATTTTTTCGACACCTTCAGTCTAGTAGTCAAACCCACCACAATCAGGTTACTTTTATCTTTGGCTATATCCTTTGGATGGGCTGTTAAGCAGCTTGATGTGCACAATGCTTTTTTGAATGAGAAATTGTCTGTAACTATTTATATGAAGCAACCACCTGGATAAATTGATAAGCAGTTTCTTAATCATGTTTTCTTGTTAAAACGTTCTCTATATGGATTAAAATAAAGTCCTAGAGCGTGGTTTAATCGATTGCATGCGTTTCTAATGACAGCATGGTTTAAAGCTTCAAAAACATATGTATCTTTATTTTACTACTCACAAGGTTCAGGCTTCATTTATGTTCTGGTGTATGTTGATGATATTCTTGTAATGGGCAATGATCAAAATCTTGTCAGTACGTTACTGACATCATTATCCTCTACATTCAAGATTAGGTATCTTGGTGAACCTAGTTTCTTTCTTGGGATTGAAACTGTTAAATATGGTGATGGAATTTTGCTTTCTCAATAACGATACATGACTGATATCTTAAGATGTGCTGGCATGACGGGCTGTAAACCCTTACTACTCCTATATCTGCTTCGATAACCCACTGTTTTTAATGCCAATTTATATGATGATGTTACACAGTATAGGAGTTTGGTTGGAGCTCTACAGTATATTACGGTTACTCGCCCAGATTTGTCCTTTGCGGTCAACCAACTCTGTCAACACATGCATGCTCCTACGGTCTCTCATTGGGAGCAATTGAAAGGTGTACTGAGGTATGTAAAGGGAACTATTACTTAGGGTCAACGAATACGGAAGTCAGTGTCCAGAGAATTACATGCTTTTTTAGATTCTGATTGGGCTGGTTGTCCTGAGGATTATAAGTCAACTAGTGAGTACGCTATTTTTCTAGGTTCTAACCTTATATCATGGGTATGTAAGAAACAAAGAACTGTTGCTAGGTCGTCTACTAAGGCTGAATATAAAGCTTTAGTAGATGCCTGTGCTAAGGTAATTTGGATCCTCTCTCTATTGCGTGAGATTGGCGTGACTGGTGTGTCTACTCCTAGGTTGTGGTGTGATAATCTTGGTGCTACATACATGTGTGTCAATCCTATTTTTCATGCTTGTACTAAGCATGTAGAAATTGATTATCACTTTGTTAGAGATAGAGTTGCAAATGGAGATATACAAGTTAATTTTATTTCAACTAAGGATCTATTGGCAGATATCTTTACCAAAGCTCTACCTGGTCCTATATTTTCTTGTCTTAGAGACAAGCTACAAGTCACTACTGTACCTTGTGGTTGAGGGAGAGTATTAAGACTCTATGTATTTGAGTTAGATTATCACTACTTATCAATTTTGGTCATGCCAATAGTCACTACTTGTAGCTTGATAGGGGTATTTGAGTTAGATTATCACTACTTATCAAAATTGATAAGTAGTGACTTGTAGCTTGTCTCTAATACTTTTAAGACTCTCTTGTTATATATACATGTAATCTGTACTATTGCAATTATCTAATTCAATACAATTCTATCAGTTCTCATCCCGCGGATATGGGGAGTCCCGATGGAATCCTTGAGAACACACGCCGCGAGGTCAGCGTTCGGGCAAAAATCAAGCAAGATCAAATCGGGGTCACAACCACAGTTCTTCGCCATCCAATCTCATTTTGGGTAACACTTGTGTGAGACCGTCTCACGAGTCTCAATACGTGATATGGGTCGGGTCTTTGATTAATGGGTCAAATTTTTTATCTCATTAATCAAAGATCCGACTCGCCTCATGGATTGAGACCTATGAGACGGTCTCACACAAGTTTTTGTCTCCTATTTTTTTTTTTTTTTTTTTTTATATATTTAACTAGTTTTTATACGTACATTGTTGGATTGATTTAATGCCCAATATTTGTATTTAAATAAATAATTTAAAATAGATCAATGCAAGATTATATAGGAGAGTTCATTATAGTTGACATTAAAATTAATGTTTGCACTTTTTTAAAAAACAATTATCTAAATACTTATTGTAGTTGGTATGATATTAGGTAGTAGATACTATTTTTGGTTGGAATTACTCTAAGTTTTGTTAATTCGCTTTTGGATATGTTTGATCAAATTGACTATAGGTTGACTTCAAACTAATACTTAGAGCATTTTTGGCAACTCATCCAGGGTTGGAATTCTTACACTTTGCACCTGAATTTCAAGAAAGATATGATAACTTCTTGCTCATTTGTTTTGTGTCTCTCAATTTGTTTGATTTCCCCTCTTTTTTGAAGGTTCTAATAAATGACACAGTTATTTTTAAAATAAAGATATTTTATAAATCATTTTACACCTTATAGTCTAATTAGTTTTGTTATATTAAAGAAATAGATGCATGTAATCCTTAAGTTTATTCTCTTATACTAATATTTATAAAATTGACTTTGTAATTTTGTAATTATTGATCATCATAGATGGATGGATCAAATTAGTGCACACTTATCACGAGAAACCTAGTTCCCATCCCCACTAACTTATTATCAAAGACTAAATCATCAAATGAAAAGAGTCATGTCAAGAGGGAGATTAAGAGCGGTGCTAGGGTAGCATTACTCATATATATATGCGTGTGTTACTTTAATGATGTAAAAAAAAATTTATCTGATAAAAAAATAAGAATACAATATTTATAAAATAATGTACAATTGTACCATTATAGAAATACAAACAAAAATTATTAATTCTTTTTTTGTACTATTTGAAGCTCAACTTTGAATGCAATGTATATAATCTGGCTAATTAATTAACCAAAGTTCATGTTAAATTTTATATTGTATTTTTTTAATACACTCTAACATATTCATATAGTATATGTTTAACAATTATGTTAATTCTGATTGGGATGAAGTTCGAACTTAAGACATTCCTTATAGATGCGTGACCATCTTTAACCCCTAAGTTATGCATGAAGTGACGAGTTTAGTCCTTGAAGGACCAAATTAGCCACTTTATTAAGTGACAAATTGGTGGTAGAAATAGTTCATGAGGGACTAAAATCGTCACTTCGTGCATGACTTAATGGTTAAAGATAATCACGCATATAACTTAGAGACTAAATTTCTACTACGAGTATAACTTTAAGAGCAAAATGTAATTTTATAAAATCAAAATAAGATGAACAATTCATTTCAATAAACAATTAGACCACTATTTTTTAGTTCTCGTTGTAGGCCTAATTTTATTGACTCTTATTATATTATATATAATTATTAATAGATTATGTTAATAAGATCTTATTTAAATTAGTATAACTTGATTTACTTTAATATTTAATTCAGTATTTATGTATAAGATTATTAAGATCTGGTGTAATTTATGTGAAAAGCTTTAACCGTACACATTTTATTTGCATAAATTTTCATAGAAGAAAAAAAAAAAAAGGATATGTAATTTCCCATCTTTAAAATCCAATTGCATCTTTGTGTACAAAAATAAATTAATAATTAAATTAAAAATAGGCATACAACTTAATATAAAGATGTACTCTGTCTGAATAAAGATCTCAAATTTGTATAAAAAAACACACATTTAATATTTTATTCCTATTAAAGTCGTAAAGATAAATTTATTATATTAATAAACATCATTTTAATTATCTTTAACAAACTTACGCGCACGTCATGTTTGTTATCTCCAAATAAATATATTAAACAATTGGGGCCAAACACACAACGTTCGACTACTTAGACATGGGAGATTGTGGAATTTCTGGGTGCTGTCGGTCAATGTCCACCTCATGAAAGTTGGCTGCACATTTCCCCCACGATGCCAAAACTTTTGGCATCAACTAAGGGTCCGTTTGGAAAGCAGGAAAATGACTTTTATAAAATGACTTTTGGAAAATGAGTCATTCTTAAGAAGTCATTTTTCTTTCCCGTATTTGGCTACACAATGAAAAATTATCTTTTGATGTTTGGCTCATTTTCTGAAAATGATGTAAAATTGTATAATTAAATATTTTATATAATTAATTATTTTGCTTAAAATATATAAAATTTACAATAATATTATAAATAATAATATTTATTTTTAAAATCAAATAATATTATTTATTTTAAAAAAATAGAATATTCATTGGTTTCCGGCGGAAACCAAGATAGTTTCCGCGCAGGAAACCATCTGGTTTCCGCGCCGGAAACCAAGATCTGGTTTCTGCGCGGAAACCAGGTGGATTGTTTACTATTATTATTATTATTTTTTTAAACCTTTGGTTTCCGGCGGAAACCAGATTTCCGCCGGAAACCAAAGCTTAGGAAACCAGTACTCAGGTTTCCGGTGGAAACTTGTCAGAAACCAGTGAGCCCAAAAGTCAAAGGATGAAGAAGCCAATGAAGATGATGAAAGTCAACTGCTCTTGAAGTGAAGAAATGAAGAAGTCAACATCCAGAAAATGACTTCCCATTTTTTTAAAGGGGAAGTTGTTTTCCTTAAAAATAGGCTCATTTTCCATTGACCAATACCTCATTTTCAGTTGACTTCAAATTTTCCTTCTTTCCAAACATTGGAAACTCGGAAAATGATTTCCAGAAATCATTTTCCGAGGTTCCAAACACACCCCAACTGCTCTTGGAGGTATATAAAAAGATTTCTACTACTCTCTGATGTGACGGACTTGATAAGTTACATTTTTATGTGGGTCCTACTATAAGTGTTTACATCAATATTTTGTATGATGAAGTAAAAGTTTTAAGTATGAAATTGGAGTACATATAATATTTTTCTATAAAAAGAGCATGAAATGTTTGGGAGGATCATTTACATATGAATTTGTAGTACAAAATTCGCATTGTAATACTCCTTTCGTTTTATTTTATATGTTAGGTTCATTTAATGAGGCTTGAATTAAGTTATTTATAATTTATCTTTTCATAATATTAAGTTTAGAATTAGTATGTAAAATATATATATTTAGAAACTATATTAAAATTACTATTAAACACGAAAAATTAAATTTAAAAATTATGAGAAAATGCTAATAGAAATTGTTGGAAAAATAACATTAAACTGGTATTTTAAGTGGCTATTTTGTGGTACAATTATTTGTGGGGTGAACTTTCGATTTGGGTCGTGTCAAAGTAGATTTGGGTTCTTCGTAGTGAGGCGAAGAGATTGATATATTGTACCCTCAAAACAGATAATGAGTGAATGAGAAATTGATTCTCAAAGTAGACCCATTAAGTTGGAAAAATGAAGGGAAAAAGATGAAGCTTTTGTCCCACATTGGGTTGAGAAGTGGGTTTGCACCACTATTTATACAAGAGCCTTTTTAAGACTTATTGAATTGTATAACATAGAGACTTTCTAATGAGTTAAAAAGGCTTGATTGATAAGGGTAACTTTGCTCCTAGGTTTTAAGGAAAGAGAGTTTTGCTCGACTCGTACTAACCACCTTTCTTTCATTTTCGATGTTCTCGTCATAAATCCTTGTAGTTGGATTATAAATTCCAATTTATTGGTTATATATATTTATATTCCGTGTGTGTGTGTGTGTGTGTATGTGTGTGTGTGTGTGTGTGTGTGTGTGTGTGTGTGTGTGTATATATATATATATATATATAGAAAAAGAAATATGTGTGTATGACAGATAAAATAGGACAGAGGAAGTATCTTACAAGCATATAAATCATCATTTTTTTTTTTGAAATATTTGTGATTTTTTTACAAGGTAGTACCATTGAGGTTCGAACCAAGTAAACCTATGACCACTCATTTGTATTGATAACTGTAATAACATCACACATCGTGATAGTTTGCGTAAATCGTCGTTATTAATCAAGTGATTTTATTTGAAATCGAAAAGGTGCAGGTTGCAAAGGAGTATGGTAGTGTATATATGTATTTTTAAAATTTTTTATTATTAGATAATTCTTCTATTGAATCATTTTTCCAACTACTTTATGTAAGAATTATTCTTGTAACTCGTTTACCTAGTACTTGGGGGTTTTTATTTTATGCTTTGTATACATATCACTCTTTGTTGATTGAATAAGACACACTTTTCTTTCTTTTTTTACATGACATTTGAGCCAGGTAAATTTCTAACAAAAAAAAATCGATCAATTTTTTCCATCTCCTATACCTAGTCGTTAACCGATACCACATCAGTATTTCAACTTAAAGCTTCAATCCATTTTTCAATAAAATTAACACCCTCAAACTTTTCATTTTGGAGAAGACAAATTCAATCGTCTCTCTTCGGATTGGACTTGGTTGGCTATATTGATAGGTCAATCAAAACTCCCAAACAGTTTACGGATGATGCAAACAAAGATGTGAATTCCTCTAATGGAATTGTTTTCAAGAGATCAAGTGATGTCAATGCAATGCTTTAAACTACCTCCGGATTATTGTGATCCCTTTTGCTTGAATCATGTGTGTTGTGTCGCTTATAGAATGTGTCGAATAGCTTCAAACAGGCTCTAGAAACATGGTATATGGATCGACAAATCTCGTAGAATTTTGTTTTTAGAAAATCTTAAACTAATTATTCTTTGTTCATATACCATTCTATAATGATGTTATTGATAGGGATATATGCCCATAGAGTATGCTATACGGTCAGTACTGCTCAGCAGTACGGTCAAAGCCGGTCAGTTTCCTCGGCCTGCGCTTTCATCACCGAGCGCTAAACTGGCCGACCACCTGACCGACCGTTCTCCCCGAGCATTCCTTCCCGGGTCCCTACCCTTTCTGGAGGGTCCTTGGCGCGCTCTAGCGCCTTCCTATGCCCGATATCCTACGATCGGGCCCGACCGATACTCTTTAACTCCGTTCCTAGAGGGCCTAAGAGTATCGTTGCCACGTGGCGTGACGGTACCCGGTCCCGGCCGCAGCCGGTGCATGTCCGCCACGTGCAGCTCATCCCGGGGACCCGGGTTCTGCCCCCCTCTCCCCTATAAATAGCACATTAAAAGCTACTAGAGGAAGACCTTTGGCATTCAGTTGAACCAGAGCTTCCCGATCCACTGTTAGGAATCCAAGCTTCAACCCTCACCGGTACACGCGGGTTCTTGTACGTATACCCGTATTTACCACATCATTTTGGCGCCGTCTGCGGGGACTGGTACGAAAAGTAGCTTAGCAAGACCGTTGTCGATCCCTTAAATTATGTACCCGTTCATGGATTTTCGCAGTGATGCGGAGGCCGATGAGAGCACCTCTGATCTACGCTCGCAGGCCCATCCTCGAATGGATCTCAACAACGCACCGGGAAGAGGCCTGACCCCGGACCCTATCAACTTCATCCAGCAAGGGCAAGCTTTCCCCGGAATGGCAGGCCAGATGTCGTTCCAGCATTCGGTGTACCCGCCCGGGATGTTTGATCCCGTTTACTAGTATTGGCAAAGCCCCCAACGGTTTTACACACCACAGTGCAACTATCAGCCGGCTCCGGGCATGTACTCCCCCGTACGCGCCAATGCCAACACCCAATGAGCCCGAACCACCGAAGTCGGGAGGCTCCCCGCCAGCCGCCCCACCCGAACTCCGTTGGGCCCAGTCAGAGCGACAACCGGCGTAGTCGAGGTTAGGACCCAGGACCCCCCCCCCCCCCCCCCCGCTTGCAGAAAAACGTAGAGGCCTTGACGAGGACGAGCGCTTTTATCCGACTCCGCCCCCGATGCACCAGCGCCTGGGATCCTGGCACGATGCCGAAGAGTCTGTGAACGCACCAGGGGCAAGTCATCGGGAAGGGTCAGGCAAAGTCAGTAATTCTCGGTCCAAGAGATTGGCCAGGCAGGCTGTCGAGCGCGACGACCCCAAGCAGAGGCCAGAGGGCTCCTACAGCAGGTTTGCAACGATTTCAACAGGTGGAAACAAGAGCACGGATACCGATCTGCCGAGGCCGAGGTGCCCCTATTGCGCGTCCTAGGAAGCAAGGACTACGACAGGAAGATCGATCCGGAGGCCCACGTCAACTCCTACTACGGTAACATGTTAATGATGGGGGTAACCGACGCAGTAATGTGTCGAGCTTTATATTCCACCTTGACCGGGAGAGCGACGGATTGGTTCAAGTCACTGGAGCCCAGATCAATCCCTTGTTTCTCCGAGCTGGCTAAGAAATTCGTCCAGAAGTTTTCCACTTCCAAAGTGGTGCGGAAACATTTTACTTACCTAGAAAAGGCAAAGCAATAGAAGGTGAGTCCCTGACGGACTTCCTGGTAAAGTGGAAGGCCGCGATTGGAGAGGTCGAGCCAATGGACGACCGAGCGGCAGTGAATGACCTCCATTCGTCCCTTCGAGCGGGAAGTCTGTACCGAGAGTTCATCCTCCATCCACTAAAGAGCTATGACGAGGTAATTCGCCGAGTCACTGAGTATGCCAACGCCGGAAAGGCGAACTTGGACAAAAGACAGCAAGAAGCCAGTAGTAGTAGAAAACCGTTAGGCCAACCAGATGGGAGACAGACCGAGCACCCCGACCGTGGCCGGGGCTGTCCAGCAAATTTTACTCCACTAAATCGACCAACGGTGGACATCTTCCAGTACGCCCAATCCTGCAATATGATCCAACTCCCTGAACCGCTCAGAGACAGTCGAGACAAGACGAAGTACTGTGCCTACCATCGTAGCAAGGGTCATGAGACGGAGGATTTCACCTCCCTGGGGCAGGTGATTGCAAACTTAATACAATAGGTAAAACTTACCGAGTTCGCGGTCAAGAAGGAAGAAGGGAAAAAATCTTCGTGGAAAAACGCCTTCAGGAGGTCGGGCAAGGATAAGAAGGACAAGGAACCCGACCGGGACCAAGACTCGGGGCCCCCGACCAGCAAGTAGGTGATCCATGTCATCTTCGTAGGTCTCGAGGATGGTCAAGGATCCAGAGAGCGTTTACCGATCGGACTCATTGGGTCAGAAACCGGAGAAAAGAGACAGAAATTGGAGCCGATCACGTGCACACCAAACGACATACCCGAGGGCGGGGACTACAATGTCGAAGCCCTGGTAATCACGATCGACATCATGGGCATGATTGTACAGCGAGTTATGATTGACACCGGCAGTAGTGTGAACGTCTTATATATAGATGTGTTTCAAATGCTCAAGCTCGACCTGATCAAACTCACTCCAATCGGCACTCCCCTATCCGGTTTCACCGGTGATACGATTCATCCCGAGGGCAAGATAAGTTTACCAGTGGAGATCGACACGTATCCCCGAGTCATAAAAACCGTGATGGAATTTGTCGTGG